TGAAATTTAATTTTAATTTTCCGTCATTTGATTTTGTTTTTCTAAACAGTTGCTGACGGTCCTTACGCATCCAACAATAAATTTTCAAAAAATATTTAACAGCACAGACGGCATTTTGCAAACTCATTAAACTTCTCCAAAACGAAAGTTAAGTTAATTACGTTCTTCAGTCGAGTTTCATCATTTGGTGGCAGCATTAAAAAGTTTTCCATTAGCCGCCAAAAGCGTTCGAAATATTTCTCACCCAGTACGTACTACGTACCCGCACCGCATTGATTCCATTTGATACGTACCAGTAAAAATATTTTCCATTTTTTTTAAATCTTTTGTGTATGGAACTCTAACTGCAACAAACACGCAACTACAATGGGAACCACACCAGGCTATGCCAGGCCACACCAAACGTGAAGATTTGTCGAAATGGAAATTTCAATTAAATACTAAATTTCTGCGTGCAACAGTGCGTATGAATGTTGGTGCCAATGTCGATGTCGATGCCGTAGTCGCTGCCATAGTCGATGCCATAGTCGAAGCCGCCGAATTGCAATCGAAATGCTGGATATCAAAATTTTAGTTCCTTTGACAATGCAAATTTTAAGCGACTTTCCTTAAACTTTACACCGCGCGACTAAATTTTCATTTTTAATTAAATAAAATCTTTTAATTAGTTTTTTTTTTTTTTGCTAAATTATTGCTTCAGATTGAATATATATAAACTGCAACAGCGCAGAGGACATTTTGAAGTTCTTTATCTCTGCTGCCTGCTGCCTTCTGCCTTCTGCATTCGCCTAGGTTGCAAAATGCTGCAACTGAGCTGAAGTGGAAAAAATTGTGGGAATACTTCTTGCAATTCACTCCTCTTCTCCTTTATTTTCGGTACTTAAAAAACTGATTTATGATGACGGCGCTCATTCTAGAGATTCTGATTTACGCGACTCGTCTGTCGTGGTAATGAAATTAGTTTAATTTAATTATCATTACGTCTGAAGTTGATAGACAAATTTTAATTTAGTTCTATTAACTTTCACCAAAAACAAAAAAAGCAACAAGAATTATTATGAATATTAAGTTCGAAATTATTTTTTTGAACACACTGTGTTCACATAATTATGTAAATACATTTAAAAACCATTAGAGCACATAATTCACATCCACCAAATTAAAAAATTTTCTGAAATTAATTTCCAGGGTTTAAGTAATTAATTTATATCAATTAGTGGGGGCGTAAAATTTCTTAACGTCTTGGAACAAAACAATTTGTTACCGCGCTTATTCAAAAATTAAACAGTTCTTCGTTTTTTAAACCATTTACACAAAGAAGTGTAAAAAGATGATATAAAGATTGTCAACATTTTTGTAACGCATTGAAAAAATTTCATAGACTCCGGGTGAAGTATGCACATTCTTAATCAGCTCGTGTTACAATTAGATCCGTCCATCTGCCTGCTTCAGTTCAAGCGAGTCCGTTAGTGTTTGGCTATTCGAATTAAACTTCGCAAATATACATTTAGGGAGTGGACCTTGATCATTTATCGAATTGAATAAAGAGGACTACTATATCCTTTATAATATTTACTTACTTACTGTTGTCCTTCTCATTTTACAATCTGCTATGAGTTTCCCACATATTGAATAAAGAATTTGTTATAGAAGATATGTATTATCGACAAATATATATTCTATAAAAATTATAGAATATAGTTATAATCATATAAGAGAATGTACATAATTTTTTTACATCGGATTCAATATAGATAAAGCCTTATAAATTTTTATATTTTCTAATAATATGAACTATATAACTTAAATTTTAAACTTAAGCATAATTTATAGAATATAATATATAATTAATATAATATAGTAAAAATGCTGTTGCGCGATTGACAATACACAATACAATACACAAAATGTTTTTCAGAACCCGAGTTCGATTCCTGGTACTTGCAGTCTCAAAAATAATTATTTACGAATAATTAAATACAAGAATTATTTCCAAGACCACTGACGATGGGTATTTGGCAATACTCGAAACTGCTGTATGGTCTGCCAAAAATTCAATTAAATAAAATAATATAAAAAATAAAATTTTTATTGTTGTATTTCACTACTGTTCGAAAAAACCTTTTTACAAAATGTTTTTCTTATAAAAATTTTTTCATATTTTAATATATTTGCTTCCAATTTAAAGTTTAGATATTCTATCTAAAGGCCTACCTCTTCTGAAAGTCATTATTAAAAATTTATTAGAATAAACTTCCACACTATATCTAAAGCAATATGTTTCTAGGTAGTCGATTATTTTTTGTCATCTATGGATGGTATCTGATATCATCATCTATTGTAATGTCATCGAAATACATCAATGAATGAAAATTCGTTCAATGTAACCGTGTAAATCGTTGAATAGTTCACACAGCAAAAGAAATGGTATCTTTATCGTACTCAAGTGCTTCTTTCTAAAGTCCCCAATTCTATTTTTTCATGTCCACACCACCACGTTCGTGTTTCTCTAGACGTTTTCAAGAAACCTCAGCAATTTCTTAGCAACATTATTGATCATCCCATATTGACAATCCGGTAGCCAGTATAGTATATATGTATATGGCTTCATACAATAAATATAGCCAGAATGCATAAAATGTATGTAATGATTTTATAAGTTACTTGAATTATTAGAAAATATTTGAGACATTTTTTTTTATAATTGAGTAATTATTAAGAAGACAAGTCAAATAATAAAGTAAAGAGAATATATTATTAAAGAGATTCCTTCCCCCTATTCTATGTACTTGATTAATTCACCATCTAGCTTATTTGTCAAGGTTGACAATTTGTCAAGATTTTGGTATTATGTGCTTTAAGTAAAAAACTCTTTTCTTGATAAATTGTCTAGTTGATAAATGCAAAATTGTTGATAAATAAAATGCTCTCGTATTGTGTGTACACCACAGTGTGGTGAAAAGCACTAGGCACTTGAGGTTTTAAATTTATCAAGATTTTTAAGGAATAGCAAAAGTCTTTTTGCTCTATAAAGATCTTGATTAATTGTCAATATCTGATCATTTTGTCAAGCTGGTTTGTCAGAATTGTGGAGTTAGTATCAATAATTGTTGTAAAATATATTAAAAATACTTAGGGACGTCAAGATTGATCCGATCAAACAATACAAAAAGGATATAGAAAAGATACAAAGCGCTGAAATTATTTGCGAAAACTGACAGACTTACTAACACCGCATTATCGAGTCTTAGAATGGTTTCAGACTCCTCGGAGAGGTATACAGATCTAAAGTCAATTATTGCTTAGTCTGATAAAGTGATAAACAATAATCCAGTCAAGGAGGTTTTGAAGATACCTCGCAGTTAATAGAGTAAAAGTGTTAAAGTGCACTGGCTCAAATAGCTTTAACATAATAATAAAAATACTTAGTTCTATATGCACATTTCTAATATATTATATCTGTTGGCACAGTGTTGTATATTCGAGATTAAGTCGATAAAAAATTGGTTTTCCATGTGGTCAATACTAGTAGTCGTTTATTCATAATACAGAAAAACACACAAATGTAGTATTTTCCAAAGAAACCAGAAAATTTTTAATTTCAAGGAAATATAAAAAACGCAAAATATAAAATATATAAAATCTATATACTTAAGAGAACACATCATCAAAATTATATTTCATTTGAAACTTTTACTAACTTAAATTTGTCTATGGAAACTATTTGTTTTAGTTTCTGAAATAACAAACATGCCCCATATTTCCAGGGTCATTTCTAATTGAAAAAAATCAATTTTTTTTTTCCATTTAAACCTATAAAGTTGTAAATATTAGAATTGCGGAACATCAAACGATGAATTTATTCTACTTATTTGAGTACTAGTAGAACTTCACTTGCCACATTAAAATCTTGCTTGCAATGATCGATTCTATCAATGTTATCCTCATTTCTTTTCAAAACTAAATGCAGAAAAATCTTTTCATTTTTAACATTTATTAACTTTTACTGATACTTACAACTCTTCGACAAAATAATTCTTGCATTATTGACTCGTTTAAAAGTAAATTTTTCTTTCTAAAAACTATATATTATTATCAAAAAAAAATTTTTTTAGATACCCCAAAGATGTTGGAATAAAAGCGACGAAACGACGGATTAAAAAAACACAACATACTGGTCAAAAACTATGTTATTAGTAAATTATTCATTTCAAAACTTTCAAAACGAATTTCCTTAAAATATAAAATGTATTTAATTTTGGACAAAATCTTCATATATAATCTGATCCTATTCCGGGGTACCTCCCAATAATAGCAACAAAGATTTTCGATATGGCACCCTTCGGTACCTCAAAATAATAGCAACAAAGATTTTCGATATGGCACCCTATTAAATACAACTAATTTCGAATAGATCTGATGGTTATCTTATAAATCACAAAGCATTGCAATTTATACTAACAATTTATGCTTTCCAAGAAATCAAGTTCTTCACATTTTTCTTCGAAGTATTTCCGCAGAGATACATGTATAATACAACGAAAATATAATATATGGCTGGGTTGTCTAATTTTCTCAATTATATATGAAGCTCAACTACGAGCTTAAACTAGTTAATCTATAAAGACCATTATATCTTTAACTTTTATCATTTGTGGTATAAATATTCCAAATATGATCAATGTTTTCCAAGCAAAATATTTGTCAGACGGGATTTTATGTTGAATTTGAAATACCATTATCCTTTCTGAGTATTGAATGAATACACCACAACTTATGGTGTGAATTTCAACTCATATAAGAAAACTTTAAAATACTTTTATTTTCACTTTTGTACCTTAAAAAATACATCTATTGCTCATATCTCACTATTAATTGTCTCACTGATAATTATGTACCAATATCTATTAGAATAATAATAAAAAATTCACAAAACTTAACATATGAAGTGCAAATATAAAATATTATTCATTTTATTTAAATATTTGAACATTCGTTATTAAAAACACTTATTAAAAATAGTCCATTTAAAATCATAATAAATCTGTGTATTTTAAGTTAAAATTTTGAACTTTAATTGAGAGAGAAAGCTTCTCCCACAGTTTCTTCATTGTCTCCTTGACCAAACAATATTCTCAATGAAATCCAAATACCCAGCTACTCGCATCGCTATACTTGGCCCAACATATTCAGCTCCTCTGCTTTTACCCAAGACAACAACGCCTACTACGTAGTTAACTCCATTCACTTTTTTGACCAGACCGACGCCTGATGCACCGATGCAAAGTTCTCCTTCATTAACACAAAAGGAATTTTGATTTAAGAAATTCTGAACACCTTCGAAACTCCTAATACACTCATTTTCAGTCAGATATTTTGGATGTGATTCAAATAACACTATTTTTGAGTAAATGAAATATATGTTAAATGTGAACCATACCATAAAATAGTACAAACTAACTTTCTGCAGATTCTCGGCACCATAGACCCACAGTAAGAGTTTCAGGTATATTTTGATCTGTGTATAGACAAGCTGGTGAAACGGCTGAATTGAAACTTAAATCGTTCTCTAATTCTAATAGAGCAATATCATTAATTCCCATACTGTAATCTGGATGTATATACTTTGTCTTGAAATACATATTTAGGTATGTAATTTATATACGCTTAGTTGTATTTTAATGTATATTTTACCTTTACGCGTTGACGTGTTGCTTGACCAAGGTTTCGTAGATTATTCACACCAACTGCAACAAAAGTTTCTTTACCGTTCAAATAGTCCAAACAGTGCGCAGCTGTTAAAATAAAACGCTTCTCTATAATGGTTCCTACACATTTATATTCAAACCCATCGCCTCTTTCATTTTTGGTAACTATAGCTGCCATATGCTGGAGATTTTCTGGTGCTCCGAATCGTGTTATGGATCGGAGCACCAGACGTGCATTTGTGCGTGGAAAGCTGTTGCAAGCTAAGAATAATTTATGAGTATATCTTTAGTAATTATAATATAATAAGTAATATCATAATAATTAAATTAATAAAATTGCTGTTTACTTCAATGGCAAATCAAGAATATTTATTATCATCTACTTACAGATGATAAGATTTCATCTATATGAAATGAATATTTGATTTCATTAAACAATAATCAATATGTAAATAATAATCAATATGTAATCGATTATCGATATGTCATAATATTGTGACATTGATTGCAACTTTCGTTCAAAGTGTACAGAAGTTTTATTAAAGTATTTAGCATCTTTCTCTACATCGATAGTGTTAATTTTAACAAACAAGTCACCTCTCGTAATAATAAATTGCTTAGATTCTTACCTCTTTCAGAGGGACGAATGTTTCTTCCAGTTGCAGCCCGTTTGGCGATATGATTGCTAACTACATATTGACGAAATAAATCAAAGATTATAAAATAAGATTAAAGTTTTAAGATAATATTAATGCACTTACACTGCAAATTATTTGTTGAAACCACATTGAATAGAAACGTGCATAAAACTAGCAAATATAAATAATTCTTAGTGAACATTTCGAAATAAACTTTACTTCAAACCAACGAGAACTGTTTCTGAATCTCAACGTTCAGTGCTTTTTATAGCTGAACTTCGTAGCCTCTTATTTTTGTATCTATATGAGATTACATTTTTATTCATGCGATTAATACTCACTGGTAAAACCCAAGTCTATATACGAGTATGCTTAATTGTAAAATTGCAAACTACTGATACGGCAACTCTCTTCTCAGCTAGCAAGTGTTCTTCAAATCTAAAAAGATAACCAGTTTGATTGTCAATCTTTAATTATTTTAATGCATATTTCTCTTATGGAATTTACTATTGATATAAATTTTTTAGCTAGTAATCACATACATTTCAGATCGGGTATTGATTAGAAAGCAATCGAACTTATTTACATATAAAAGCACATAATAATACACACGATTCTCGTAACTAATTTATATTTAGTTATAAATAGTTATATTCTTATATTAAAGTTTCACTTAGAGAATATTGCAATATATCTACACTAATAAATATAACATATGTATTTATAAATTCTGTTGGAGTCTTGTAAATTAAAATAAAAATTTAGCTCTGGTAACTTCAATATCTGTGCTATTTCCACATAAAACGATCCTGATCTAGTATATCTCTTATTGGCAATTATGATTTCAACAACAACAAATTTCTAATGAATTTTCATACTGACTGGTTGGTTGGTTCATGTTGGTGGTTGAGGATATGAGTTCAATTTTAGATTTTATGCCGTTTTTCTTCTCTCCAACTGTTCAATTGGTTGTCTTAAGGACGATTTACCTAGACTGACTGTTTACTTTATTCAAAAAGGACATAATGTTAATAAGTTCGCTGGATACCTCATTGTCTGTACCATTAATGAATAGTCGTAATCGTTATCAAAATCGTACAAACATTGATGAGCGCCAGTCTTCTAAAAGTGGTGGAGACAGACGTATCTATATTATTAACGTGATTTCCTGTCGTGTAGGCTTAACATCACGGTGTTCTTCACACATGCATCGGTGGTGAATACGCAACTCCACGCCGAATGTAAACCGAAACTAAAGATTCTTCCCGCGTAAATTTGGGTATTAACCATCAGTCACTACGAATCCAACATCAACTGGTCAGTCCAGCCGAAGCTGTGAGCCACTGACCCCCGTAGTACCAGATGCTACATCTCTGGTCAAATGTCGCAAGAGCCTTCACCGCAAGAGCACCTTATCTCTATTTTATCTGTGGACAGTTTTAAGTCACACTAAGAATAACTAAATACGAGGCGTTATAATATGACGGATCTGATGTCTTTGTATCTGCCTGAGTTTATCAGATTTCGCTGAATTTTTAGGTTGCTGAGTGTTGGGTTATTGTGACTGTCAATTATATTGAACAATTTCAGTGCACGCTCTTTAATATGTTTTTCGACTGAATCGACTCTCAGATCTTTGTGGATATTCGTTCCTCTTACGTACCATGGGGCGTTAACCAGTTTTCTTAAGGCGATATTTTGCGCTCTTTGAAGAATTTTTAATGTTGAGTTTGATGCTTGGCAAAAAGCAATACTGCCATAGAGTAGACCTGGTTTAATAATCTGTTTGAATATGTTAACTCTATTCTTTATGTTGAGCTTTTTGCTACTGATGAGCGGGTAGAGGTCGTTTCTTTCACCAAAAAAGAATACCATATTACAAAACGTTGGGTACCCCATTACACGAATTACACATCGAATTGCTTAGCACCCATCGTATTCACCAGATTTGTACCCAAGTAGCGATTACTATCTGTTCGCAGAACACTGTTCCTGGAAAAAGAGATTTGACTCCGATGAACAATTCATGGTCCAAAATTGTGACATATTTTAAGTACAAAGAATGCTTTTATTTTATTACAATCTATCAGGTATGAATGACAATAAATAATATTTATTACGAGTTAAAAAAAAAGTCGCGTTAGTACATACATATCATACACATAGATATATAAGATTTTTTTCGAAATTTTTCTTCTCAGCCTTGTAAAAATGTTGGAAGAAGATATCAAATGTGTAATCAGTGGGTTTGGGTGCGATATATATGCGATGAGAGTAGTTTTTTATAATTCGATATATTTCTTCCTTGGAAAAGTGTTCTTTGGTTTGTAAAGAAACTGAAAGCTTTAAGACAACTAATTTTGTTTTGAACTCAAAAGTTCTTGTTTATATTTTTCGAAAATTTGTGCAAAAATAATACAACTGCCTTTGTTTTAAGTTAATTTCCATGTCAGAATTACACGAATCTGAAGAAAGTATATTTTATTTTCATTCATTTATACTTGATTTAAATTAAATATTCATAATATACTTCTTATCAGTTTGTCTTCAAATTGTTATTTGATATCTAACCCATGATGAACCAGAGAGAAAATAATCTTAAATTTCGTCAAACATCTTAACATTTTATTGTAACTAAGCCTACAAAAAACGTAAGCGTTTATATGTATGCATATAATATTGTAATACTTAGGGATACACCTTCTCCGCCAATAGGCCCATTGTATATCCCTAGGACTTTTACTAATATGTCCAACCGAGTTAGTTACTTTTTCCTTTGTAAAAAAGTAGCAGTGATACATGATTCAAGAAGAACTACTTACAGCACTGTAACCAATATATACTTCTTATTTTGTCATACTTAATTAAATGGAGTTTAGATGAACTCTATGAATTTTGGTTATAATTAAATATTAATAAATCATATATGCATTACCACAACAAATGCCGACAAATGAAAATAAATATATTTGGTTTAAGTGAAATATATCCGCTGTTTCATAGTTCGATTAATAAAAGTAATTTATTCATTTAAATTTTTAAAGTAACCTTTCCAATATAACAAGGAATAATATAACTTAAGTTCATTGTTATTCAATACTTTAGTTCATTTTATTAAATTTACATTGAAACAATTAATTGAATTTAGTATGCCAATCAATCACCATATTGACATTTATTATTATGAATAAATTAAATCTTCGTTTTGGTAATTGTTTCATAATTTGCATTCATTCATTAAAACTGCATTTCAATGCATGTGAAAGACACTACATGCAAATGTCATATCCTTTTTCAAATTCCGAAAGCTTAAAATGGTAACTGAATCGGAATGCAATTAATTCATTATTATTTAAATTGAAAATTATTTAAGAATTTAAAAAGTACAATGAAAGTTAATGCATTTAAATAATTTATTTTCAAAATTAAGGAACTAAAAAGGATGCATTACATTAACATCCTACATTATTTGTATCTACATTTGAGTTCATTTCAAATTCTATTGTTACGAATTTATTTTAATAAAATCTAAAATGAATTTCAATTAATATTTAAAGGAATCGAAAATATATTATATGTAAAATTTACTTATTAGAACCATTGTACATAAAAAGCAATCCTTTTTAAATGAATGAAATCGAGCTTAAAAAATATCTTAATAAAATATTTATTATTTGGGAAGTTGAACAAAATCGTAGCATGTTTTTAGGCGTGAGTTAATGCTTCTTAATAATCTCATTTATTTTCTAAGAAATTTTTCTTATAGCGATGAGTAATTCACTTGAAATTTTTATAAATTATTGTAAATAAAATTAGTCAATTAGCTAAATATTAGTTAAATCTTTGTGACTGTTAGTTTAAAAATTGAATAATTATCAGTTAATATGTGATATCTCAATATTGTCAGGAAAGCAATTCACCTTAAATTCCATAAAAGGTATTGAGAAGCTTTTAAATTAACGATTTGAAATTGAAATCGATTTAAATTACCTTAAAAATCGAATGTTTATTTAGAAACTCGCATTAGAAATACTTTTTTTGTTTTTTAAATGATTTAATTTCCTTCTCAAAAAGTGTGCTTTGCTCTACTATATATCATCTGATTTCAATAACAAACATATACCAACCGGATTAGTCAACTCAATTGTTTTCTGTCAAGATTTAACTAGAAATATAGCTAAAAATTAACTGAAAAATAATACTTTGCTTAGGGAGAACTCTACCAAGAATGTCATCATATGTGATATAATATTCAATACACTCTATTTATCGTTTTTGTGTGTAATTACAAATATATTTTCTGTAGTAAGAGTTATTTCAATATTTTAATTATTAATAATTAGTTCACTTAAGTTTCATGCAAACGACCATTAACCAACAACTAACTACTCTTCTCATCAGGGTAGCCATCGCCGTACATATGTCACTCACTTAAAAGCTTCTACAGGGTTTCATAGCGATAACTTCACTAGAAATTCTACAATCTAATCATACATTCACCATTTAAGACATAACTTATAATTATTATTATTTTCTTATAATCTTATTATTTTTATTAAACTTTAAAAAGCCTCTGTCGTTTTTTCGACCACAATTGTCTAAATAGTTGTAGGTATACTTAGAGTGCCAGTTGTTCTTTGTCACGATAGTTATTTCATCTCCGATAAAGATACAGAGAGTAATGCCATATCAGGCTAGCTTATCTATTCGGTTTCACAAGTGCATGCCGCAACCCATTGAAGAAGAATATGCTGATTTTGACTTCGTCTCTACTATTGCAAGCAACAGTAATTTGGTCACCTATGAATATTCCACAACGCTATATATTTCTGAAAAAGCTCTACAATAATCTTTCCTACTAAATTTCTTCATCACTTAAGAGTTTTTGCGTATATACCACACCGCATCTACTTCTATGTAATGAGGCACCTTAACTGTGAGCACCACAACTTCGAAAATTTAATATTATAGCATTAATTATACAAATAACACCAAATATATTTACTTTGTCCATGGTTTAGCAGATGAAAGAGCATTATTAAAATTTCTCATGAAGAAAAGATCTTTAGCTTCTTTTATAACGATTATGGTGCTTAATTAATCTTTGACTTTCACTAGTAGCTCTAGTAACTCCAGTAAGTCACCGATAGAGATAAGACAACGCAATTTAACTGAATAATAAAAGTGCAGAGTATATTGTGTATCGGCGAGAACAGAAAGTTCTCTTCGTAGTCTCGAGCAAAGTTATTTG